AAAGTAACGTCAAGATATATGGTCTGATCAGCTTTTTTTGGGACATTTTCCAAGTAAAGTGGTTTAAGATTTGAAGTGTTCAAATCGATACAATTTTTGAGGCGATTAAGGTTGTCTGCCCATCCCTTTGTTGTGGGATTAAGATGATTAGCACCCTCGTAGTGAACTATGGCGTTTACGTAAGGGTTAAGATGTACGATTTCAATCGGTGAATCATAGTAACATTTAATTTGTAAATCTGCTCTCATCCAATAATTCGAAACTGGTTTGTCAGCAGTTAAGATTACTGAATAACGTTGTGCCACGTTAATGATAAGACGGTGGATCGTGTGTCTTTTTGTCATCATTCCTTCCACTTCGATTACATCCATTTCATGATCATCAATAGAAAATGTAAAACTTGAAAATGCGCTAAATAAAAGTTTTGACTTTTAATATTATAAATTATAATTTTAAGAGTTTTTTTTTTTTTTGATCTTAAAATTTACCTAGTATTTATGACCCTCAAACGATACCTCTTTCCAGGAACGAAATTAAACTTTGAAAGGTCAGCATTATCAACGCATTTTATACAGTAGGAAACGGGTGCCCATGTACAATTATAATTATTCAATCCATTAATTAATCCATTATCGGGTTGTGGTTCAGTTCCCTCACTTTCTGGAGACAAATAATAACTTAATAAAGTGGATGTTTCGTTATGATACCAATCTGATAGAAGAACTACTACATCTTCATCATAGTCATTCTGATATGGATCATCTGGGTCTTTGACAATAATGGCACCTAGAACACCGTCAACATACTGAGCTATATGGTGACTATGACTTTTTACGGCAATATGTTATAATTAGAAACAAGACGCTCACATAAGGCCACACAAATTTAATATCTTGGTTTTCATAACATGAAACTTTTAAACAGACCCGGCCGGCTTTTTTTTTTTTAATTTTCATATATAAAAATTTTATAAAATTTTTTTAAAAATTTTTTAAAAAACTTACCCGGTTATTAAAACATATAAAAAAATTTTTTACAAGTTTTCAAATTTTGACCCGGCCGGGTTATGAAAACCAATTAATTAATTTTGCATGGCCTAATTTATAATTAGTATGAGTTTTGAATACTTACTACCAAAAAGTACCACTTTGATCCGGAACTGTAAAATTATAGATAAATGTTGTATTGTCAGGTATTGGACATTGCGTTTGTCCAGGAACTCCATCATACCAGTTGGTTCCCCTTTGAAAAAATCCATGAAAATGGATCTGAATACAAGAGCAATCTCTTTTAATATTCTCATATAGAAAGATGAGATCAGATATGTGCTAGAAATCTATACTAGATTTGCCAAATATTTTTTTTTGATAAATTATCTGTATAAAAAGTTGATGGGTTTTATATAATTACTATATGTTGTAATTTTAAACGATCTTTAAAGTGCTATAACTTTTCATAAAAGCAAGATTTTAAAAACCTGACTGATAACTTTGTTCTTCATAATAAACTTTACAAAATTGCCAAAAATTTTTTAAAAATATTGCTTTTATAAAAAGGTGATGAACTTTAAAGTTATACAAAAAGGTATGCATCTTAAAGTTATACTATTTTTATTGTCTAGTATAGGCTTCTAGCACACCTTATCAGATGTAAAATTTACTGATGTTGGTTCTCCTAAATTATTGATAACGTGGACTACAAGTCTATCGCCTTTTGTTATAACAAGCGCCGGTCCAGGGTATGTTCCTGGTAATTTATTTATTTAAACAAAAAGTTAATGAACTTTAATTGGTTAAAAGAAGACTTTATATTTCAATTCTAAAAATTATATAAACCATTTACAGTCCAAACTACTCGTTCAAATCCATCTGGAGAAAGTTTTGCTTTGTAAAGATGAAGATAAAAAGTTTTCGTTTCTGGAACATAAGAATTCTTTTTGACAGGTGATGCAGATGTAAATGCTAAGCTATTCAATAAAGAAAGTATGCATAAAATAGTCCACAAGAATGAACTTTTAGAGAGAATCATGGTTTAAAAACAACGTAAACTGTTTTTGATCAAATCTTTATTAAGTACGTACGTAGTGATCAAAAAATTGTACCTTGCCGAGAAAATACATTTTTAATGTTGATAAGTCCAAATAAAGCTTAGGTCACTTACCCTTTTGATCATTATTTTCTCAAAAGAATTATTTCTACTAACGCTAACACGTGAAACAATGCACAAAGATTTTCTTTTGTTTTGATTAAATTAGTAAGACTTATTTAATTAATTTTAAAAAGATGCATCTACGTATCGTTATTTAAGATTAACCGATACTAAATTTCTATAAGATTTTATATTTGATTTAATTTGTCCTTCATTTAGAATAAATATATTCATTGCTCTATTCTATACACTCGTAAGGTAAATGTGGGCATTTTGACGAATTGAACATATTACAATAAAACTTGTTTTTTTACTAAGTAAATTGAACTTCATTTACTAAGTAAAGTTGTTTGAAATGCCATCTTTTACCTACCTCAAATTTTGGTGCAATATTAATAACTTTTTACTATTACTGTATTAGGTTTTTTCGTTATACGTTTCGGCGCAGAAAATCAATTTACTGCGCTGAAACGTATAACGAAAAAAACC